ACACTGGGAAGAGTCAAAGATAAAGATATGAGAAGTCTAATTGGAGTCAAGAAGGTTTGAGCCTCTGAATTAAGGGGGAAAATATTGAGAAGTAATTCAGAAGCATGATACAAAGAAGTGTAGCACGTGTACTTTCTTTTAGTGTGGAATAAATTAAACTAGTGTTTGAAAGTCCTGGTCATAAGCCTAGTGGAGTAAGCTCCTATATTTTATGAAATTTCTTTTGTTTAAATAGACTAGCATTGTTTACGTGATGTATTGTCACTTTCTCTATTTTCAATCCAATAAGAAAAGCCTCAAGCTTTGGCATATATCTGTTTTCTCTGTTTAATTATTACCTTTGTGGTTTGAGAAAAACTAACAATAATTTATTACCAGGTCTGTGATGGTGAGAAATCTAGTTACCACTAGTGCCATATTTGTCGATGAAGCTTTGGAGTTTTGCATCTTCTTCGGGTTTTTCTTTGTCACATGTCGGTGATAGTACCATAAACATCAAACTTGAAAGAACTGCATCAATTCAAATCATAATCCGGGTTTCTTCATTAAGAACCAAATCTTATATACATACTAAGTGGGAACCAAACAAATGGGTGATCTAAATAGATGCTAAAGTTAAGAATCATAAACTGAAGCACCAAGCAAAGGTAATTTCCATGGTTGTTTGCCCATCAATTTGAGGATACCTAATGCTAAAGTATTTATTCTATCTTATACAATAGATTCAAACGGTGGTATGCATTATCAAGTTTAGATTATAAATAAACCTTGCGTTTGATTTGTATTCTGATGGTACCATATCGTAACATAAGGATGATGAACTGATGTAAATACATCTGCCACTAAACCAAAGTTCAATTTCTTTCTCATACTCTAGTAGTAAAAGTTCATAACCTTGAAAAGATTTTGCTCTCGTTCCAAGAAATCAAACCTACGAAATCAAATATTTGATTTATAAAAGATATTTGAGAAAAGAGAAATTGTCTTTTTGTATTAGCTCAAAAAAGAAACACCCACCATGTTCAAAGTTTGTCGATTCATGTTCCTTCAGATACATGTATGATCGTAGAAAACCCACGATAACATTGTTGTAGTCAATTGATTATGATAATAAAAATACAGAATGAATCCATGTTGTAGGAGGGATGGGAAATCTTACTGAGTAGACATTGGAGACTCCTTTAGTGGTTTTCAACACCAAAAGCGCATGGATGTTGCGAAGCAAAGGAGCACCGGAGGAATAGAGGCATCAAGAATAAGAGTGTGCAACATTGAGGTGCTAGGAAGAGAAAACGGTAAACGTCTCACCCTCAATCTCTCGATTCCTCTTTCTGTTTCCCACTGAACCCAATCGAATAGAAAAACTGATCAAAAATCAACGTTGCACTCTCCGATGGTCATCATAGAAGAATCGAGAACCCCCACGGGTTCGATTTATGGCCTCTGTGTGTCGATTTCTTTCAAAAGAAAGAGAGGATAAGGTTTGGAGGAGTGTAGGCAGTCGTGGAAGGAAGAAACTGGAAGGTTTGGTTGTTTGATAGAAGAAGGATATAATGGATCGAGGGACTAAATTTGGAAAATCCTCAAAATAGTGTGGCAAAAGTCAGAACAGTAGAACCTTACTGTTCATAAGGGGGACTCAAAATTAACTCTTATATATAATTTCCATTCAATCAATTGTTTACCTCCTTATTAAATCATGTTTATCGCCAATTCCAACCTCTCCTTTCGTGAACTAGGCTGCCCAAACCCGATAAACTTTGTTCCTTGTTTATAAGTAAATGAGTTTGAATAAACAATTATGTCATTACTTAAATCATGTGTGTGGTTGTCAATTTGACATCTTTGGTGGTATTGTTTATGTAGCTCAATAAATGGCTTGGGTGAGTGGATCTACTAGATTCATGTTTATAGTAAGAGTTATATTATTCCGTAGGTATATAGTAAATGTTATTTGATCCATATGTATTTTAAAGGTATATTCCATATGTATTTTGAAGGTATATGCTCAATGTTATGTGATCCACTATATAAAATTTATTAATTTATTTTATTTGTTTATCTTTTTTATTTCCAATAAGTTGTAATTTCAAAATCATGCTTATTGGAAACCCCTTGTTTGTGGTGACTTGGTTATGTATACGAAAAATATGGTGAGTAATTTATTGACATATGCTCAAATCCTGACACTATTAAGTCATTGTGGCCATAAAGTTTTGTCCGCGGTGACTCAAGGGCATGGGGCATAGCCTCATGTTCGTAACGGAGGATCATTCGGTGCGTGAAAACTTGCTCAGAAACTCTTATTAGAAATTTTTCCTTTACAAAAAAAAAACGACGCTTATTGTTAATCTGTTATATATATGATTTCCAGAAATTAGGCCTCCTAAGATTAGCTATTGTACTGTTGTTATTTTCCTTTGATTGTTATTTTAACAATTACCGTTGCATTAATGAATTTTCTTTATATAAAAAGTTATATTTAATGGTTCATTTTTATTTTTCGTACAAAGCCTTCAAAATCAACAGACCGATACAGTTAAATGTATGTCTTTTTTTGGAAAATAGGTTATGGTCTGGATGAAGCTGAAAGAGCTTGTGCAACTATATGAAAATTTGGAAAATATTAACAAAGAACATTGCAAGACTTATGTGAATGGTTAAATACGTTAGTTTTGGGGCTAATATTGGAAAATATCTTATATAGTATGTTTTTTTAGTTAAATCTTAATTCTATTTTTTATTTCCCGAAAAGGACCACATACTTTTTTATTTTTGTTTCGATTTGACCAGTTTTATTCCTTTTGAAAACTTGTCAAATGCGAGGTTTTTTTTTCTTTTTTGAAAAAAGAGGTGAGGGTTTTTCGAAAAAAGTCAGAAGGTTGTATTTAAAAAAAAAAAATTCAGAAAAAATGAAAAATGTAAGACGTTTAAAAAAAATAAAAAAAAAATGAAGTTTACTCCGGAAAAAACACAATATATAAGATCTATAATATTATTAAGTGTACTCTTGTGTACTAACCTTGAAGGGACGCAAATAGTTCAATACATATCGATTGAAGGCAAACGGACAACAAGCTGCACCGCTAGCCCTTTCTGTATGGCAAAACCAATTCTTTTGAAAACAACATTTGTGGATCTAGGAGATATGACATTAGAATGCATGACCCGTTGGACTCTATTGAGGAGCTCCACCGCCTCTGGTGCGAGAAAACAAAATGTATCGAATGCAAAGGAACAAACACATGTTGATTTTCTATACATGCATTCTCGTGTTTTACCACTTTGCACGCAACGGCTTTCAAAGCGGCATGCCCAGCTGTGAAACCCCCGCTCCCCAAACCAACGAGAGGAGAGACCCCAGTAAGATCCACGCACGCATGCTTCCCTCCTATCCATCCAAAGACCAAAATGTCAGCCGGTCTAAGTGTGAACCTTCCATCCTGCGGGTCCGTCAAAAAAGTTCACTGACGCTTCTTTCTTCACAGAAATACCAGCACGCCGACAAGCATCAAAGAAAACATCCCGAACCACATCATGTCTATACTTCTATAGAAGCATGCAATAATGACCAATCTGATTTAATTGTTCTCAAACAATCTGAATTTAATCTTCTCAAGTGATGTTCCTGTTTAATTTTATAGAACTATTGGTTGTAGTTCAACATATTAAAGTAGAGTTTTTCTCATTTCTTCCTTACTAAGGTGTGAATGACTTTTATATTGTTTCCTGATGGTAGTTCCACAACACATAGCCGAGTTTGACAAAATAAACTAGTTTATTATAATTTAACGTTTGATAAGACCATTATCATAATTTATCATATCTTATAAAGTAGTTTGAAATAGATTACTGATAGGCTGACTTATAAGTTAAAAACTAGCTTTTCAGCTAGCATGCCAAATATGGTCTTAACATCCGAACTTATTATCAACCACATACATCAATTTCAAACTCGTCGTGATCTTATTCAAAAACTCACATGTTTGATGTCAAAGTCAAACTCTATATATCTTGAAGGTTTTAAAACAAACCACCATTGTTTGCAAGTTCTAAATCATGTTTTTTTTTACTTTAAATCCCTCTATAAAACTTCATGATGCCATTTATGACAACCAACTTCATATTCATATTAAATCGTACTTCTTTTCTGAACTTTCAAAAAACAAATATTGCTTTCTTTTTTTGAGTTCGGCTCATGTCTCAAAAATCACTTCTAGGCAAATAGAGACCACCTTTTATATTGCATTTCGTGTTGTTCTCTTTTGAGTTTCTAGGTCAAACTTTTTATGTCTTGATCTTGTAACTATTATTATTTTTGTGCACTTTTAACTAGGGTTCCTCATGTACAATTCGAGTTTCTGTGTGATGTCATTGTATACTTTTACTCTGAAAGTTAAATACTTATGTCTCAAATTGAAAATTAGAAGCAGTTTTCTTGATTTTCACAAGTCAAATATCTAAAGGATAACATTCATCTAATAAGAAGATCGATCAAGGAGGGTGATGTGTAAATTGACAGAAATCAATTAAATGTGAAGTTGTTGCAAACAGAATAAACAAACTCTGTTTACGATAACAAATTTATAGGATTAAATTGGACTTTTGATCAATGAGATAAATGACAATCCATTTGAAAACCATATCAACAACTTAAATCAACCAAAGTCCACAATTAAATAAATAAATAAATAAATAAATAAATAAAAACAAAAACAAAATCAGCTTGCGCATTGTTTCTTGTTATTGTTGGTTACTAAAAGAACATGACTTTTTATAGAAATTTGACTATGGTCTCCTAAAATTAGATGACATCTTGTTCTATACTTTTGATTTTGTTTTAGTTTTAATGTTTTGATATCAAGAGGATGATGGGGCGAAACAGTAATTTTACTTTGGACGTAACATCATTGATTAACAAAAATAATCATTTTAAGGACGACATATCTGCAACAAATGAAACATCTACATTATATCCACAACTTTTGAGAAAAGCAAGGGGATTAAAGTTGTAGTTTAGTCTCTTTTATACAAACACATGCACCAAAGTTGATTTTAGAGGTTTCAACTTTGGCAAAATCTCCCTGATTTACAAAAATACATTATACAAATTAATACATTTAAAGTCACTTTTACAACACCATAACCTTCGCATCATAGAAAAATATAACAAGAGTCAAGAACATGGAGATGAAGTACTCCAAAAGTTGGTTACCATGAGAATCCTTGTATGTGTAACTTGTGCCGTATGAGCTACTCTTACCATGAGATTTAGCTCAAATCAAATGTCTTGTGTCATTCCAAGTTCTATAGCTCTTTAATATTTTTCATCGATACTTTGGTTAAAATTGAATGACAATAACTTTATTGGTGAATTATCTCGAAAATTAGAAATTTACGATATTTAAGAGTCTTAGATTTGGGTGATAATAAATTCTCTGGAAATATACCCAAATGGATCGGAGAAAACATTTACACCTTTAATAAGGTTTTGAGATTAGACAAAAATAATTTCACCAGAAGAATTCCTCGATTTTTGTGCAAAGCTTCAAATCTTTAAATTTTGAAAGTTGCATAAAACTTTACAAGAACCATCCCTCATTGTCTAGGAAAGTACATGTCATGGATCTTCATACAAGCATATATTGACAGATTTGTAAAGAGCATTCAACTAATATCCTATTTGGTGTGACAGCTTCAGATGACTCAAAAAAGTCAAAGTCGCCAAGCTTAGAGTAATGATCCCGGTCAACCGATTTTTCTCTCAACCATGTCATTTAACTGTCCTAGAAAATAAGGGATGGTTCCTACTAAGAAGTTGAATGCATCATCTAAAGCTTGAAGTTTTGCATAATGAGCAAAGAATTCATTATGTGAACTTATGTTCGTATAATCATAAACCATCAAAGGTGTAAGATTTTCTCCAATCCATTTGGATATAATTCTAGAGAATTTATTATCACCAAAATCTAAAAATCTTAAATCACGTAAATTTCAAATTCTCGAAGAAGTTCACCAATAAAATTATTGTCATTCAATTTTAACCAAAGTCATGATGAAGAATTAAGAACTATTGAACTTGTAGTAACATCATGGTAACTAGTTTTTGCAAATTTTCAAGACATTTGAGAATTCGAACAATAACATCTACCATAGCATTTATTCCACGAATGAGGCAAAAATTTACCTGAAATAACATAGCAAAATGAATTATTGAACTAACCCACTCATCACTGATGTTTGACCTTTCAAAGTAGGCTACATGCTCACCAAATCCACATGAAAAGTAATTGTTTAATCATCTAACTATAAACTTCCAACCATTTTTGAAACAGACCATTTGTTTTAATAAATTTAACAAATTAGCAATAGCAATTCGGATTTAGACTCTGACATCATAAAATCTTTACTAAATAAAGCATGCCTACAAGATAAAGCCAAATGCACTGAACAACAAAATCAAGTATCAAACAGTATCGTATACTCTTAAAAAATAATCCAGAAATTTTAAAGGTACTTCAAAATCTCAAATTGTCATATTCAGTTAAAACCCTAAATTCCTTCAAACTTAGCCTTAATTACATCTTCTAAATATCATGTTAATTGAAGTCTAAGCAATTTCAAAACAAAAAATAAAAATAAATAGATAACAAGATTCAAAACTCAGTTTGCAATTACCACATTCAGCAACCTACTCCAGAATTAGATCCATTCATACAGATCTCGATCTTGTTTTATAAACCTTCATGGATAAGCAAAAGCCTAACAAATAAATAAATAAATAAGATGATACCTAGTAGTATGTTTGCAACTTCATTCAGCAATTGGACGAAATTACCATACTCGATTGCAGTGAAGCGTATGTCGGCGTCCAATCTGAAACCTTACTTCGTTGTATGTTGGATATAAAGCACAGCGTACCTATCAAATATTGAACACCTTAAACTCACATATGGATTTAATTGGGCCTCGTTACTCTACAAATGGCCCAACAGATTTAATTGGGCCAGACCATTTTCGCTTAACATATTAGACTAGAGATGCTGGTCACTTGTTAAATCTTTGAATCTCACCACCGTTAAAATAAAGTTTGATTCACGTTTTAATATTTCCGGTACTCATGCAACGTATCACACGCCATCTCGCCTCACCTTGATAGAGGGTAAACAACCTATATGGATTATAAAACTAATAATTGGAAACAATACTATATCTCGTATAATCATATTAATTTAACATGGGTTGGTTTTTGGCTACAATCAAACCCAAACCATATAAATCGGTTTTTTCTGTTACAAAATCTATATGGGTTTGGTTTTTCGGTTTAGGGTTACGGGTTTTCGGTTTCAAACATTGGGTTTGCGGGTTCATGGTTTTTCAGGTTCAAACATACTAAAAGTATGCTGTTATAAATAGAATTGTATCTTCTTTTTTGGTTTGGGTTTTGACTTATGGGATTCTAGGGTTCATTCGTGACTTCATTTTCCAATTTCCGCTCCCTTTTAAAAGAATAAAATAAAATAAATAAAGAAATGATATATATATATATATATATATATATATATATATATATATATATATATATATATATATATATATATATACACACACACACACTAGCCGTTTACCCGCGTCAAGCGACGGGTGACAACGGGCTGCAACCAGAGAGCACGGGGTGATTAAAAGTTTATTTTTGGTGAAAAGTTTTTTTAGGCGATTATTTTCCTTTCGGGGGTAGGTGTGTTAAAAAAAGATAGTTAAGTTTGGCATCTCAATCAGTATTTCATAAATCTAAATTTTTTTATACGAATTTCATATAATTGAATATCAAAATTTTATTAAATATATATATAACCATTCAATATTAACCAATAATGAAACCACATAACCATTCAATATTAAACAATTATTACGGCACAAACACCTTTCACAGCACAATTAACAACTCTTATTTCAATCCCATCCAACATTTTGACCAAATTGCTAAAAAAAATCTACGAGATCCATTTGATTATACACCAATTTAAATTTATTATTGTACCTCTTTAAAACCGGCCTCTCAAATCTATCCTTCATAATTAGATCTTCAAAAAGGACCTTGCATCAAAGTAGGTAAACCTAAGAATAGACATCTTGTATAACTAGAATATCATTTCTAAAACATTCCACACCTTGTATAAGTTTATCCTAAAAACATATTCTTCATGAAAACACTTACATCAGACCTAGGATTACTAATAATAGACATCAAAAAAGTTTTAAAAAAAGTCTTTAAAGTACAATGCCATTTCAAGTAAATCATAGATATGCTAGTCCATTTGAAAATAAAATAATATGTCAAGTATATTGCCATTTCTAAAACACTTATAAATGTCCATCCCAAAAACATTTTTTTTTTTGAAAAACCTTACATGACCTGGAATTCCATCCAAAACATATTTTAACCATATTATGAAAGTAGAATACCACAAGTTTCAAGTTTACCCAATCTGAAAGTATAATGCTATTTTTAGTAGATCCTATAACCCTAGTAGTCATTTTGCATCAAACATTGCCATGTGAAAACAGACATGAAAAAAATTAAAAACCCATTCTTTGAAAGATTACAAATCTGATGCAAAGTAAAAAAAAAAACTCTCAGGCATGTTACTACAATATTCAGATATGATGCAATGTGAACAGAAAGAGAAAAATAGTATCAAACATTTTTAAAATTGTATAATGAACAAATAATGATAAATAGAATCAAATTACGTTTTCATTTGAGGACGCAATCAATGAATTTTGGGGTAACTTAGTAACCCAAAAATATGAAGACTTTGCTCTTTTATGTGAGCATCAACAAAATATTAACCGAAAAATATATCTAACTTTTAATTAACGTTCAAATCAAGTCAAATATTTACTATATTTTTAAAATGATTACATACTTTCATGCATTTCTATTACATGATCTTATTCTCATTTTTTTTCTTATGAGCTTCGACCCCCACCCCCTATAGTATCTATATCACACGTATAACAACAATGAAACCAAAAAAAAGGCTTAGCCCTATGGTCCATATAATGAAATCAATTTACTTGTCGTCGCCAACCTGTGCTTCTTTCATAACTAAAATCGATTTAAGCAATATTATCTTGAAAAGGTTTTGGGTTGACACAAGGGCTTATTTAAAATATATTTTAAAAACATATACCTATCACAAACCTGACCTTCTTGTTTTATCCCCCACTTCTAGATGTGTGTCAATAGAGATCTTTTACTGATAGATCTGCAATATTCAACTAACAAAAAACATTTCAACAAATAGAAATCTTTTACTTACATATCAGTTTCTTGAACAAAGCTATATACATAAATAGAAGATTACCTTATTGGGCTTCTTTTTCAAACCAGTCGAAGTGGGTTCAAGACTGACATAAATTGTCAAAAAATCATAAGATTAACAAGCCATTAGAACATCCAAATCTATTATGAAGCATATAACACATATGTAACTGTGATAAAGAACAAAAGGAGGAAGAGGGGAAGACCACAAAGGCAGAACAGGAGGAAGACAATGTTCAGTGGCAGATAATCTAATGTTCATAGATCAAGAGAGACAGATAGAGTGGTGGGGTATGGGCGGTGGTCGTAATAGTGGTGCGATGGTTAGATACAACGGTGATGGAAGCCAAATCAGATATCCACCAACCCTTACTCGAAAGTCCACCTTCTAAAAATCTAATGATTCAAGCCATTTTTACACCATATCCACCTTCCAGAACTCTAAATCATACCTGGAGGCTGAATCAAAACATCACCAAAATGAAAACTATACCTTTGTTAATCAACAATATCACCAAAATATATGACACCGTAGTCCTGCAAAACAATACAATTTATCATTTATATGATCAGTTCAAATCAACAAAAATAATGTAGGGAAAGAAAAACACAAATATTTCCAACATATAAAAAATAGCATCCTCGTTCTCATAGCCATGAGATTTTATCGGACCTTTTTGCAAACACTATTAAATGAGAACTACGATCCACCAGCCCACCTTCATACCTACTTCTTCCATGTTCGCCTTGGAGACTGTCTGACTATGTTCAGTTGTTTCACATTAACCCATGTTGAGGGATGACTTGTGAAGACTCCACCATAATTCTCATTTTTGACTGCTATTTCCCAGCTTGACATCAGGAGCCAACTGATCTTGTAGTCGGATTTGCATACCATCAAAATCAATGTGGAACAGTACTACTCAATGTCACTTTAAAACATCTCCTTGAACAAATCCTTTTGCACCTCAAAAATCATCTTTAAATTTTCTTGACAATGTCAAAAAGAATTTTTTAAATCATTGTAATTTATAATGATTTGGAAAAAAAAACTCAGAAAACATACAACTTTACATCGGGTTTGTTTTGATTCATTATTGTTGCTACTTTACTTAAGACATCTTCCATTCCCTGCTTCAAAAAAAAACAAATCATGGTCATAAAGATCATTTTAGAAGGAGATTAGGGCGATTGCATTTGCAACAAGGAATGGAAAAAATTACATCTTCAGAGATCCGTTATTATCCTTGTTAGAAACAGAAAAACAAACAAACAAATATATCTGTGAGGAAATACATCAAACACCTTATGTGCAAACACCTTAAGTCCTAAACCATTTGTGTATATGTGTATGCGTAGACAGCAAAAATAGAGAAATCTATGTCAGGTGTATATAAATTCACGATTCTTACCTTCTCGTTGATCTCGAAAGGGGTAATGACTTTTTGAAAAAAGATTCAGAACTAATAAAACTCAAAAAATTTAAAACCATGAACCAGTAACAAAAAAACTGGAGTAAAGAAAGATGGTACCTAAAGACACAAAGGGGACTCTCGTGGTTGTTACTAATGCCGGTGAAATAACACAATATGCACCTATGAGAGTTGTGGAGGTCATGAAGATGGAAAACAGAGTGGTGTGTGGCTGTTCGTTGTGCCTGTGCGTACGTATAGCGAGATAGAGATGGTGAATGGTGAAGTGTATGCATAGATTATGTATGGTGGGTAAAGTGCAACGATTGTGAAGTATGAATGGTGGTTCATTTTTGGGGGGCATACTGACCAGTGATGGAAAAGAAAAAGGGCGATGGAGTTGTAGCCTTATGTAGGGTTTTGTGGTGGTGAGCGTTTGGGTGGTGAACGTTTCAACTTCAAGTCAATTTCTAGGATGAAGAGAGGGTGAATCCTTGGGCTGTGAGGGAACATGGGCATATTTAAACTATTGAATGGAGGCACAGGGAGCAGACGAAATCAATGGATAGTTACGACTTACAACCCTAATGTGACAGGGGAAACATTCAACTTCTGCAAAAAATAAGGAAACGACCGATATAACAGTCCGATGTTAGAAAACTCATAGAAAGTTTGTAAATGTTCAATGTAAATGTTTGTATATGTTAGAAAACTCCTAGAAAGTCCTATATTTTCTACTAGTATAAAATGTAGTCTTCTACCAAGACCCGACTGTTTTGTATGTTTGTTTCTCTGTAAAAGTGGATGCTTTTCCCAATTATGACTATTATTACCAAAATATAGTTTTATATTACCCTTTATGTGAGAAGATCACAATTTGAATATAATGGGAAAATGTATGTGTACAGCAGTATTATTTGTATTAACTACTAAAGTAATAACTACCTTAAAACCAATGGTTTAATTTAGGTATAATGTGATGAGGTTGTTACCATACTAACTGACTAAAACACGACGATGAAAGACGTCAGAAGAAATGACATTTGGCACCCGTAGAGTTGCAAGTCCCACTGTAGCGAACAGCTAGGTGTAGGATAGTCAATCCAGTATAGATCTGTATGCAAATTCACGCTCTCCCTCCAGGAGATTCTGGTTATAAAACGAGCCATAACAGTTATGCTATGCCCCGAAGTAGTATCTCACATTATGATATAGTATTCTTGTATATGTATTGTATGTACTAGTGTAGTGTATGTTCTCTCTGTCTAGTATGTAGTATGTTCTCTTTGTTTCTCATCATAGTATGTTCTCTTGTATAGTGTATAGTATGTATTGTTTCTCGTTATAGTATTCTCTATCTGTTTCTCTTTATAGTAAGTATTGTTTCTCGTTATAGTATTCTCTATCTGTTTCTCTTTATAGTAAGTATTGTTTCTCGTTATAGTATTCTCTATCTATTTCTCTTTATAGTAAGTATTGTTTCTCGTTATAGTATTCTCTATCTGTTTCTCTTTATAGTAAGTATTGTTTCTCGTTATAGTATTTGTATATGATAGTATTCTCCTAAACTGTACCTATTATAGTTTACTAGTAATTTCTGTAGTTTGAATGAATGAAGGTATGCCTTTGCTACCCAAAGGTACTAAACTGATTTATAGTACTTTTATATCTACATATGTACACATAATATATAACTAATATTTAGACGACATTCGGACAAACAACCGATAGCCTAAGGCCACATCCACACAAGGAAAAGGAAATAAAGCGAGTTATCAATCATAAGTCCTTTAAACATTACTTATATAACTATACATATATAGACATGCATTTGACAATATATAAGTTTAAAAAAAAAGAGGTTTTGTAAAACATTTGAAGAGTTTAATAATAAATATTGATGACTTGATGTCAATTTGTAAAACGAATTAAAAGCAGTTTGGTTGATAAGACAGTTTAAAGTAGAAGAAATCCTTTGTTTGAAACACAGTTAAAGTATAAGAAATCCTTTGTTTGAAACACAGTTATAAATCATATGTGATTGATTTTATAACTAATATGTTTTCTACTTGTATTCCCCCCCCCCATAAAAGCATTTAAAATCATTTAAAAGATAAGTTAAAGGGGTATGAACTCACCTGTAGTGAGTGATGCGAATGTAAGATCGGAAAAAGGATGCTAAGTGTCAAGTGAAGACTTGAGCACACACGGATACTATTTAGCATATAATGACACATATATGCATCTAATTAGTGTTTATAACAACTAATCATGAAATGGAACAACCTTAGGGACTAGGAAACACTTGAAATGAAGTGTTAAACCACATAGGGTTGTATATAAGGGATGTAGGGCCTCACATAGGAGTTTACGACCCAATGGCATTACTCACATGAGTTTACGACCCATGGGTTCACGGCCCAATGAGTTTACGGCCGTAAACTCATGGTAATTTGTACCATTTTGTGTGTTAAGGTCTTACAATCATGAAGGAAGTGTTCTGGTCTCTTGTCTAAGCCTTAGGAAGAAGTTATGGTCCTTATGCCACACTAATTAGGGTTTACGGCTTTGCTTCTTTTGTTTGACTTTATTGGGATGATAACTCTTCATGGTCAAAGGCCACTCCTTTCTGGGTCAGTGTAGTAAGCGGTTTCGCGATGCTAGAGAAGTTCTTGTATGAACCTGCGATAGTAGCCAGTGAGACCTAGAAATTGACGCATTTCTGTAGGTGTCTTCGGAGCTGACCAATTCTCAATGGCCTTGATTTTGGATGGGTCCAGGTGAATTCCATTTTTGCTAACTACGTGGCCCAAGAATTCGACTCTTCGAATCCAAAACTCGCACTTAGAGAACTTCGCATAGAGCTTCTTCGATCATAATGTTTCTAAGACTCTCCGTAGATGTTGACTATGCTCCTCCTTACTACGAGAGTAGATAAGTATGTCATCAATGAAGACAATGATGAACTGATCCACGTAAGGACGACACGCCCTATTTATTAGATCTATGAATACAGCTGGTGCGTTGGTTAATCTGAACGACATCACTACAAACTCGTAGTGTCCATAACGAGTTCGGAAGGCTGTCTTGGGGACATCCTCCTCTAGCACTCGTAACTGGTGATACCCGGATCTTAGATCTATCTTCGAGAAGTAATTCGCTCCTTGAAGTTGATCAAATAAGTTGTCAATGCGGGGTAGAGGATAACGATTCTTGACGGTAAGTTTGTTCGGCTCTCTGTAGTCGATGCACATACGAAACGATCCGTCTTTCTTCTTTACGAACAGACCGGTGCTCCCCATGGTGAGAAGCTTGGCCTAATGAATCCTTTCCTGAGAAGTTCGTTAAGCTGACTGGAAAGTTCCTGCATCTCTGTTGGAGCTAGACGATAAGGCGATTTGGCTACTGGAGTAGTCCTTGGAACTAAGTCGATTCGAACTCGACTTGACGCTGTGGTGGTAATCCTGGTAGTTCTTCTGGAAAGATGACGTCAAAACCTTGTGGTGGATTAGATGTCATGAAGATCTAAAAGAAAGTATGATTACTCATGAATTAAGGAAAAGGATAGGTACTTCTGTTCCATCTGCATCTCTTGTCCCGATCGGCGGGAAGGGCATTTGTTTGGCTTCTAAGTTTATTCGTATGGCAACACGATCACTCGTAGTCTTGAGCAGTCTCCGTCCTGAAGTTCATCTTAGAACTCATATTTGGTTCTTCAATCACAGCCTTGCGTATACGAGTCGTATATAATTAAGATTGAAAAGGCAGTTGAATAAATGATTCTTCTCTAAGCTCACATCCAAACAAGGAAAAGAAGTTAAAGCGGAATCATCAATTCTAAGCCTGTAGAACCTTGATTATGTACCACCCTTGCGTATACATTCCTCAGCGATAGATTAACCGTATGGGTCTTCGGATTGAACTTGACGTACTGTATGAGTAGTATTCCGGGGAGGTTTGTTGAGGTTACTTTGGGAAGGATACGAAACATAAGGCACTTTATGCATGAGTACCTCGGATTTCTGGAACGACGGCTTCGCTAGAAAGTCGATTACGGGGAAAAGAATTTTCGCATGAAACTGGCACTGTGAGGATCGAATTGACTCCAGTCAAATGATAATGTCGGACTACTCGGAAAAATTGGCGTTAGACTAGTTCAGAAAGGTGTTACAGAGACACAACGGTGCAACTTATGTCAGAGTTTCAGTACTTTAGTTTTACCTATGAAACTACTGTTGCGAACAAGGTATACTGCAAAAAGCAAGTACAAGTAGCACGAGAGTCCCTTGAACTGATGGGATCTCGCAGAATGATATGACTCGAGTTGCACTAGTTTTTAACAGTTTATAAGTCTAACTTTATCGCTACGAAACGTACTAGTATTTCAACTTGGGTCCGGAGTAGTCTCTCCTGTGGCGGTGATCCTTAGTATCTTCCCGTATGCGCC